CACCCAGGTTACTTGTTTACGGGTATGCATAGTTATGCAAAAAATTTCGCTTGAGTTTTCACCTCTTGACGATAGGGTCTCTGACTTTGTATGTTGTGTTTTCGAAAGGGTATGATCATCATTGCTAGTGGCTCAGTACTTTGGCTTGGGTGGTTTTTCAGTCCACAAAAAATAGACAAGATAGTTCATATAAAATATAATTTTAATCTTAATTTTTTATTTATTTTTGTTTCACTCTCCTGCCTCTTAATTAACTATGAGAACTGATGCAAGTGCAAGAGCTTCGAATCTTTTTTTGATATGAACCAGAATTTTTCTTGATAAGATACGTATTCAGGAACTTCTATCAACACTTTCTCAGCTTCTTTTCTGGTACATATCGATAACTACAGTATATGTATCAATTCTCCACTGAAATATTGACGGAAGGTACGAAGTAGGTAATTGTTATCAAAATGGAATTGGGGTTGAAAAGAATGAATAGAACATCCACTAATTATAAACAATTAGCTGATATGGGCAATGCTCGTGGAATATTTCAAGTTGGTATTTGACGAGATGTATTTAATAATTTATTTATTCGATTATTTTGTAGAAGCGCAACAACATATATGAATAACTAAACTCTATTCATTAGTTGGGACACTTTTTTCCAAAACTTGGTCCCAACCGACGCGTATCCTATGTGGATGCTCGCGGGGTACAGTTAAATCGAAAACAATGAATTTTTGCTCACATAAATACTTGTCAATAATTTTAATCACACTACGCCAGTTATTGGCAAATTGACACACAATTCTAACTAGTTCATTTGTAGTACATGACCCATTAAACAAACAGACATGTGTGAGATTTTTTCGTATTATCTTCGGACAGTCAAAGTAACTCTGGGATACATATATTGAACTGATGTTATAATGTCGTCCTTCAACAAAATAAGGAATAATTTTCTTCTGCACTTTTTTCGGATCAGCATATACATCTTCGAATATAGCCACTGTACCCCTATTGGGAGAAAATGAATCTACCTTAGGGATTTTATCGGGTTTCAAAGATCGGAATGTAATATTTTCATGGTATGGTTTCGGACTATTCGCAATTATCTGATACGCTGATTTGAGGTACATATATTTCGGCTCTTTAAGATTATGACCGACCAAGACCAAATCATCACACTTAATATAACGTGTCCATTCTTTCTTACTATTAAATATTCGATAAAGTTTATTCCCAAGCATAAGATTGAGAATCTCATTAGTTTTCCCTGAATTAGTATGACCTGAAATTAGAAGAGTGAAAGGCCATTGAGGTGTACTAGAATGGCCATTATATTTTTGAGCATCTTTAATCTCATTAATGTAGTATACTAGCCTATCAACCGGTTCAAGCTTTTTGATTTTCATGTCAGACTAAGTATTAATAATAATATACTAAAAATAATTTTTTTAATCCTTAGTTTCATCCAAGAATCCTTTCTCAATTAGCGTATACTTGATATAAGGAAAAAGGTCACATGTATAAGGCACTTCAATAAGACATATACCTTGGTTTTTGCATATATCCCGCTTTTTCTGATCACGCATCTTTTGTGATTTCAAATTTTCACTCTCCCTATGATATAGACTATTGTGATGATAGTGTTGGGGGCCCTGGAATTCAAACGCAAGACGTAATTCCTCATTATATCCATCTAAGTGTAATCCATCTAAGAACTTAGCCCTACATGGTGAAAATTTCTTACCTAACAGATCTTCAAAAATATATCTTACGTTTCTCTCAGTAGTATGATGGCATAAGGGACACTATTCAAATTTCGTAGTTATTAATGGATATGGATATTCCCACTGATGCTTTCCATTTTCACAGGACCAGAGGTATACATCGAAATCATTTATTTGGCCAGTTTTACCAAGACATTTTCCGCCATGCTTCTCAGCATATGCAATGGCTTTAGCCATTTTATTAATAATACGAACGAAATTAACAGACTGGGAATAAGTATTTTCTTCCAATACACTCTGGGGCGGATACTGAAGCGTATTAATATTCACATATAAGAGTTCCTCTCTCACAAATCCACGCTTTGGTGTAAACTTATCACCTTCTAAGTAATATAAAATAGGCTCATTCTTCATTATAACAATTTTTCGAATTTTATGTAATGAAGGACTCCATATCGGATCTGTGCTTCTGCGATTCTCTAAACCTGGTGAGCCTTCCCACTCTCCATTGGCTAACAAATAACGAACTGTATCACCCTTCTTTAACTTATTTTCCTCATTTTTTCTAACTGGATGCTTATATTTTGTAGATGGCCTGGATTCTACTCGTTCTAGTTTGATAGCTTTTGCTGGAGCTAAACCCCACTTTGAAGAACCTGGAGCTCGGATGAGGCGTGTAGGATAATTATTAAGATAATCTATTACTTTAGATAAATGTTTAACCCATGCTCTTATTAATTTAGGATCCGAGGATATACTTTCAATGCTATATTGAATCTTATATAGCATTTTAGCTAGAGTTTTATTAAATCTCTCCACAATTGCTGTACCACAATGGGAATATGGACCAATAACTCGAATTACTACACCATGTTCCTCCATTATTCTACTAGTCTCACCCATCCATTCCC